AAAACTAAAAAATACAAAAGGGGGGGAAACTTTTGAGGTGCACAGTATTTCATAATTCATGCAAGATAATAATGAAAACCAGGTCCACAGCGTAAAGAATACCATTATCAGAACGGATAGATTAACTTAATAAATTGATAAACAACAAGCAATATTACCACAATGTATCTTCAGTCATAGCTGTTTTGAGTCAAAATTACACTGAAAAATATCATTTTTCACCTTCTGGTGGCAAAATTATTCGACTGTTTATTTTCCTACTTGCATTTGCTGTTCAAAAAACCAAGTTTCTTCAATTGAAAATTTAGGAAAAATCAGACAGATAGGGGGCCTACATCAACTACGATAGACTTGAAAATGAGAGCTTATGATTGTCTCAGATAGACACAAGTCGAATGAACAGAATGTGTCAAAGTGAGACAAATGTAGGTTCTCCAATAACTGAAAATTTTTCGTTCACGCCCAGGGTGCGGGTGTGTGGATGCGGGTGAGTGTGTGGTGGATGTGGGTGTGAAGAAGTGAAAGGCCGTCAGCTCACCGACACTCACCACCCACACCTCACCCTTATTCACCTGGATTTTTATTTTGAACGCATCGGATAATATTGATAACAATAAGTCAATGCTGACGTATTTCAAAAATCTTCATTTGATAGTTTTAACAAATATATTTAAAAATCTAGAAACATAACAGATTCAACAGTGTTTGTGTCTAAAAAGTATTATGAAAATTATTATGGAAAAAAATTGAGGGAGTTTTTAAATATAATATTTAATCAACACTAAAATTTAAAAAGTCTTTTTTGTCGTTATTCTAAAAGAAACTTGAATTCGATACTATTGTGTATCATAGAGGAACATCAATCATCTTGTTTTAAAATACGAATATTACTTCAGTTTACTCAATGATTACTTTATAAATTTTATGCTGAATTATCTTTTGTGCATTCTGTGTTCTTCATCATTTATTTCTATTGTTTTGTAAGCATCCTCAGTGCTGCTGAATTTCTCATAAATATATAAGATTGACAAGATTTTATGAATAACGTTGCGAACATAGTTCCAAATAACTAAAGAAATTTTAAATATTAAAATAAATAAATGATATTGCTTTTTGTTTTACTCAAGATCTTGGGAAAAGATAATAGGCAATGATGTCTTTTCTACGATCTTGACTTGAAAGAATCTTTGAACAGATCTTGTCAAGATCTTGGATATAAATTTATTTGATACGGCCAACATATATATACATGCAAATTGTCTTTTCAAGATCTTGATAAGATCTTGCTTACAAGATGTTCGACTATGGTTATGAGTCTTATTTGGAAAACTATATTCCAACTGGTTTTCAATTATGATCAATTCAGGGATGCACTACCTCCACGAGTTCGTTTCATAATAAGATGAATTTAATAATTAACAAAATCATTGTTTTATTGACATTTCCACACTCTAACTTCACAGTGAAATCATCGAGAGGGAAAGAACAAATAGAATCAAGGGTGCACAAATCAGGAGCATATTAGAGAATTAGAGTCAAATACATACGTAAATCGAAATCTAATCTTAAACGCAAAACAATTAGTATTAAATATCAAGGCTTTGGATTTGTTGCATCTCTAAACATAAGGGAATGTATCATGATCACCATCAAAAGAAAAAAAAGTAAAGAGTAGATCGAAAAGCAATGAAGATAAGATAAAAGCAAATGCTTTCCTAAGTTTCATTTTGTAATTGACTTATTGTCATCGCTATCAAAATACATAAGTAAATACACGTTTTTTATGTTAGTGGAGTAGATAGAAATTTAAACATGCACCTTGTATTTCAGTAGTTGTCTGAAAGAGGTTTAGCATCAGTATGTTTGTGATGGCTTTCGGCTTACAAGAAGGCAGTAAATTCCTAAGATTTTTCTTTATATGGTTGTTGGTTTTATTGACATACACTAGAAAAAAAAAGATTACTTTATTAATCTTACTTGATCTACTCTGCTCATTTGTTAGCCAAGTTTGCTTAGTAAAATAACAGTTCCGATCCAAATGCTAAGTAATTTTAAATAAAAGTTAAGTAAAGAGAAATAATTATTTAAGTAAACATTTTAATTATGAAGATATAGTATGAATAATATTTTTTGTCGTATTTTTTCATGTCGATACTGTCTTTCTCTTTTTGAACCCTATGGTATATCCTTTGCTGACGAAGGCAGTTTACAAAACTCCCATTCGATACTCTTAACAATAATATATTTGCAAATACATTTTCTGCAGCAACTGAAACAATAGCATAAACTGATTTACCGTTCTCATGAGGTCTGAGGATAAGAGTCTTTTTGAAAAGCAGACTAACAGTCATCAACATCAATATCTTAAACTTAGAGCTAATCATATCCTTACTTGCACGAATAAATTAAAGTTGGTTCTCAACAACTTTAATTTTAGCAGAGAGTTACGTCGATTCTCCAACGTGTGTATATTGATATAAGATCTGAGTGTTATGACAGATACTTATACAAAAGCAATATTGGTGAAGATGAGAACTAGGTAGAAAATGAGGAGCACAAAACAATATAGATCACTTGTATCAAGAAACGTGATACAAGAAAAAGATATTACTCTATTGAAGCACTGTCAAAGAAAAAGTGTATCTTACAAGCATGACATTAGAACGAAAAATATAGACGAAATACACGCATTGTTATGGTGATCATTTGATACTGACAGAAGAAAATGAAAAGACAAATTGTATACGTCAGCCCACCATAAAAATCCATCCTATCTTAGATAATCACACTTAGTATTTATTAGAAATTACTTAGTACTAATAGTTTTTACTTAACGATTTTATTATATAACTATAATTTCGATTTCAATTTACTAACGTATATCGAAAAGATTCTAACGTCCATATTAACTATGTAACTTAGCAGATATTTTGATTATTAAAAAACTATAAATTAACTGAGTGCCCTAATATTTTCACTTAGTGGTCAATTTATTTACTGAGTAAATACAAATTCTACTTCACAAAAGTCAAGTTAGTATCTTAATGATTTTATTTACTTAATAAATTTTAGCCGAAAATAATATATAATTTCTCTTTTTTATCTTTTATATCAAAATACGTGCATCTTTCGTGAACGCATTCCATTAACAAATCACTATGACATCAAGTGAGCCTGAATATGACAGTATTAGTGCGCAATATAGTGCGGTGAAGAAAACTCAAGTTGGTAACATTATCGAATATTACACAGTTTACAAATATATACTTCCATCATTACTGGACGATAGTGGCTTGCTAACAGGAAAGCGTGTACTTGATTTGGGATGTGGTGAAGGTCGTCACACACGTCAGTTAAAAGCGTTATGTTGCGATTATATTCTCGGCGTTGATCAAAGTTCAAAAATGATCGACCTCGCTCGTGAAGCCGAGCGTCTTGATCCAAAAGGCATTGAATATTTGGTAGGTGATGTCAAGCAACTTCCCCCACCTGAGCAACCTTTTGATTTGGTCACCGCCTTTTTCCTATTTCCACACGCTCAAACACGAACAGAATTACTTGATATGGCACGCACTGTTTATTCGCAACTCGGTGAAAACAAACAGTTAATAGGTGTGACGGCGGATTTCAAATTAGATCCACCCGAATTCAATCTACGCAAATATGGATTAATGAAATCGATCAAAGCCTCTGTGGACAAAGGTTCAATACCTGATGGCACAGAAGTCATCATTACATTCTATAACGAGCAAGACGAGCCAATGTGTCAAATAACAGACTATCATTACTCACTGAAGACTTACGAAGAGGTGTTCACAGAAGCTGGGTTCAAATCATTGCAATGGGTGCCCTATCAATGCGATCCTCATATGCCTAATAAAGCATTCTTTGACGATTACATCAAAAACTCGAATGCAATTGCTATGATAGCAACAAAATAACAGCGAGATTGCAGCATTCGTAAAACAGTACATACATCGACTTTCACTATTTTCTGCATTTTCCATAAGCATTCTATCAAAAAATTCTTCGTATAAAAACTTTTCTATCTTCTTAACTACGTTCGACAACAGAGATGCAATACCTTTAGAGTGTGGATATTTTGGAAATTCGGACGAAGATATTAATATTGGTGAAAAGAAAAATCACATACTTATCTACATTCTTTCAATGTTCTTTATGTTTTTTTTTTTATTAATTTATACATGTCTTTTGTTTCTTTTTGTTTTATCTAATGCACTTTATCATAATTAGATTAATGAAATACTTGCAGTATTGATTACGTATCCAATGAATCATTTTTCAAATATTTTAACAAAAGATAACTTAGATTTCAAGTGTGCTTTTTATCAATCTATTTTAAAAGTCTTCGGTGATAAAAAAAATCTCTATCGTTGAGGACAGCATGTTGAAAAAGTTTCTTTTTTAAGAACGTATTATGAAAAAAATTGTGTGCTGCTATTAGATAGAATGAAAAACAATTTTTGCACGAAAAACTTAAATTTCTCAAAGAATTTGTAATTTGTAAAGTATTCACTGATCAAAAACTAGCTTTATCATGGTGTTCCTCTGCTAGAATGATAAATAATACTCTCAAAAGTTCCTAATATCTTTCTTGTTCAAGTTTAAGAGCTCATATCTCGATCTAAATCTTAACTAATATCGACTGTAGCCTCTGTTTTTCAACCGAACTTATGAAAAGAGAGCGACCTATAGGCATGTGATGAGAAAGAGGTCTCTCTGATACAGATAAGAATTTTTCCATGACTAACTGACAAAACTGAACGAGGTCTTTTGCAAACTACTTGGCTTGACTTCATCTAGTTGTGTAAGATCAAAACAGCCGATCTGAACGAAAAATATCCGATTCTCGCACCGTATCGACTCAAAGGCCTAATATCTGTCGAAAAATAAAATGGCCATGGGTATTTTTGGAATAATTCAAGAATGGAGAGAACTAGACAGCTGCGGTTTTCACTATTATGTAGATATCTGAGTACTCCATATATTCACTAAGACATGATGAACATTCGTGCAAATTCAAAGTTTTGTCACTACCACTCTCTGAAAGAGTTCATTACAGCTTTTTAAAGTCGCATAAGAACCTATATATCTAAACTATGTAAAAGAGAGCCCAGAGAGCTCCTCTGCAAAATGGTGCAAGATCAATTCACCCCTCTAGCTTTTCTAATTTTCAAATGGTACTCATTTTCTTGAGGTCTATTGCTGCTGCCTTTTTTGATTAGGATAATTTATGAATATGTATAACAAAGCACATATTTTATTGCAGTTTATAATGTGGAAATGATTCTTCAAGATCGTCAATAACCTTTTTAGTTGTAAATGAAGAGAAGACTATGTAAAAAAAAAACATGAATTTAAATTGTTCCATTGATACATGGAAAAATATTGAAAAACGAAAAAAAAAGTGTAATTTTTATCGATGGTACATAAAAAAATGTCAGTTATTGAGGAAGAAAGATGAACATTTTATCCTAGTATAATATATATATTCAGTTTCCATTATTTGCGAAATATTGTTTGAATATTAAGTGGCTCATTGAGTGATAGAGGAGGCATACTTTGATGACATCAGGGCCAATCAGTGCATACACTTTATACAATCACTGTAATTGTTTTGAACGGTGCTAATTTTAGAAAGAGCTTAGAGTAAAAAAACTCTAATCAGGAATGAAATCAACGACTCTTAAAAGAGTATTGTTGCGCACCTATGATGATAAAAACTGAATTAATATATTATACGAGGGTAACATGTTCATATTCCTCAATAACTGACATTTTTTTCATATACCATCGATAAAAATTACACTTTTTTTTTCGTTTTTTAATATTTTTCCATATATCAATAAAACAATTTAAATTCATGTTTATTTTTATATAGTCTCCTCTTTATTTTCAACTAAAAAGGTTATTGACGATCTTGAACAGCCATTTCCACATTATAAATTGCAATAAAAGATATGCTTTGTTATACATATTCATAAATTATTCTACTCAAAAAAGGCAACAGCTATGAACCTCAAGAAAATGAGTACCATTTGATAATTAGAAAAGCTAGAGAAGTGGATTGGTTTTGCGTCATTTTGTAGAGGAGTTCCTTGGGCTATCTTTTACATAGTTTAGATATATAGGCTCCTGTGAGATTTTAAAAAACTATAATGAACTCTTTCAAAGATTAGTAGTAACAAAACTCTGAATCTGCAAGAATGTTCATCATGTCTTAGTAAATATATAGACTACTCAGGTACCTACGTAGTGGTAAAAACCGTAGCTTTCTGGCTCTGTCCATTCTTGGGTTGATCCAAAAGTGCCCATGGCCATTTAATTTTTGAACAGACATCAATTTTTTGTCTTCGAATTTTATTTCGTTAGTGCAAATTTTTCTTTCATCTCCAAAATGAAGATGTAAATGTGAAAAGCTGTTCTAAGATTACTAATTATCTATCTCTCTGGTTCAACATGCAACCACAGTTTCTAATCATGTAACTCACATAAAATGAATGAAAGTTCAGTCAAATTGCATTTGAAAAGTTATCATAATTGTATTACCAACAAATAGAATTTTTTTATATAAAATTCAAAGTTTAAATGTTCTATCAATGTCGCTTTTTTAAAAATTAATAGTCAACACCAATTGTGCACTATGCAGATTTTTCAAAATGTTTAAAGAACAAGAATAATAAAAACAAGAATATTAAACATTGGATAGATGTATAAGTTGAGCGATATTCAAGCAAAAATAACAAATGAGAAAAATTTCATTTTATCTAACAATATAATAAAACTTTATATACCAAAGTAATGTTATTACTTTGCTTATTTTCAGGCAATTACATAAAAGAGTCCTCAATTAAAATAAAACTTTTTATTATTTCTCTATATACTCCCGTATTGAAAACCTATTATTACCTTATAAATCTTCATGATGAACCGCATAGCCATTATTTGAGATAACTAGCAAAACTGTTGTACCATTTTGTTTGTGATATGTTACTGTTTCGAAACACAAAGAAATTCATCATTGGATATTAAAAACGTTCATCTCTGTTACGATATCTTTCTATACGATAGTATATTGTTCAAGGTATTTATCGGCTGAAAAGTAGTCCTTTTGCTAGCAAAAATAATTTCCAACAATTTATTTTTGAGTTAGTGTCACTATTTTTCTTTTTACAAAATATATCACTTTTAATATGTGATCATTGGAGATAGATTGAGTATTTTACTGTAAAAACGGTTTTCTCTCGTTGGATTAAAGTATTTTATAGCCATAAACATAGTTTCCATTGTAATTTTATATATGATGTAATAGCTTTTATGATTAATGGTTGCCTGAAATAATTTTTTTATAGTTCTAACAGACACTTATATATTTAGATATAAGTATACAATCTTTATGACTAAAAGCCAGTTCTACTTCAAAGACTTTCGAATAACTGATGGACTCAAGCTATACCAGGTCAAATTCACCCCATCAAATCCAACTGTCGGAAATCATCATCATCCATTAGTTTTCAACGAGTTCCAACGTCGGATGTTGTCCAGTTCCAACAATAGAATTCAATGAAATCTGACAATGGCACTTGTCGAATCCGACGAAATCCGATGGCATAAACATGTCTGCAGATAGTTTATTTTATTTATTCTATTTTTATTATTTCTCATTTTTTTTATTTTACTTGAGTATATAGTTTTTTTTATTTTAATTTTAATTTTATTGCATTTCAACCTATTTTTTTTTTGTTGTACTTTATTTTAAATCAGGTCTTATTTAGTTGAATCACAGCATCCTCACCCGCAGGTTGTGCTAAGTGTGTAAATTGTACCAATCAGTGCATCGATGTTATGAATGAAGAACTAAGCCATTTTAATTTTTAATTTTATTCTATTTTGTTGTATGTTATATTAAGGGATGAACTAGATAAGCAGTAAGTAGAAATTATTTATTTTTGTTTTATGATATTTCCTTTTATTTCCATTTATTTTTGCTTGACTTTTATTCGAATGTAATTTGATTTATTTTATGTACGTTAATTTTTTCATTTTCTTTTATTTGTATAATTTTAATTTTTTTTGCTTATTCTGTTGTAATTTGTTCATTTTATTTTATTTTATTTTGATTTTAACTTCGTTTTCATGTTTTATTGTACTTTTACTTTGTTTTATTTTTCATGAAGGACAAATTTTAAATAAAGTAGATGTTGACTGTTAACATGCATCGGAATGTAGTTGAGGAAGGAAGTAGGGGGAGGAGGATCAATTAATATTTAACGCTCAGACGCCAATTCAACGGATTTACATGGGGTTCCAACGGTATTCTATCAGATCCAAGCTTGAGTTTCTTCGACCTGAGAAACCCATATTGATGATCTAATCTTTTCACTCCTTTCTTTCTGCGGGATAGATA